AGAAGGAGAAGAAATTGAAGAAGAGGAAGGAGAGAGAGAGATTGCATAATTCACGGGGAAGAAAATGAAGAATTCTGCTGCATTTCAAGAGTTTAAATAGAACATATTAATACTGATTTAGTTATAAATGATCTTGTTTTCAAGGTATTGTAGGAAAGTCCTATCTATCTATCTATCTATCTATCTATCTATCTATCTATCTATCTATCTCTTTCTCTCTTCTCTTTCTTCTTATAGCTCAGTAAAATGAAAGTAACCAGTAAAAATTCCTCTTTAGGCATCTGTAGAGAAGCAGGTGTTTTTCCGTTCATGAACAATCGCTCCTTTGCTCCCGTCTTCTTACTGATGTGTGTATTTCCATCTTTCCTTGAAGTAACATTTCTTTATAATTCTCTGTGAAAATCTCACTTGGGATTTCTATTAGTTGGATTGGCCTCCCATAACAAAATATCAAATACTGAGTGGTTTACCCAATAGAAACGTATGTTCTCACAGTTCTGGAGAATCTCAGTTCTAGAAGTCCTAGATCCAGGTTCCAGGAGGGTGGATTTCTGGTTTGGGGCTTTCTTCTTGGCTTGGAGGAAGCAGCCTTCTTGCTGAATCCTCTAAGGACCTTTCTTCTGTGTGCAGTGGAGAGGGCTGTCCCAGGTGTCTCTTCTTCTTAGATGGACACCAGTCCTGTGGATTGGAACCCCACCTTCTCCCCTCATTTAATTTTAACTACCTCTGTATAGATCATTTCTTCAAAAAAGGGGGTGGAGATTTAACACATGAGTTGTGAGGAACATGATTCAATCCACAACAGACTAGTGGGAAAAACTTGAAAAAAGAAGGGAACTGGAGAGTGAGACTTTTCTACAGTGCATTGCTATTCTTACTTCACTATTGAAAAAAAAATTTAAAAAATGCAAAACTATATTCAGTATTGAATTTTAAAAAATATTTTAGGGCAAAAAATATTACAACAAACCAGATGAGTTCTTTTTGGTAAATAACACCTGCCTAGGACAATATTTTCATATAAGAATAACAGAAGATAGTATTTATTAAGGCTTCTTATGTTCAAATCACTAGGTCAGGAAATGGTAAATGACTAGGTATTTATGGAGAATTCTTTGGTTGCCTCACGCATGATTACAATCTATAAATGTGTCTTCATGTAAGCTTTGAAAAAAACTTCCAGTCTATAGTTTTAGAAATCAAGATCTCATATATGCAATTATTTTTCCTTCAATCAACATGGCTCAAAGTTTATTCAACCCAGGATTATGAGGGAACCAGTAAGATGTTAAAACTAATTGAACAAGCACTTGGAGCTAGGCATAGAAATAACCAGGGTCTAAATAGATTGGTTCATGAATGTTTTTATTACTAAGGTCAACAGACACTCTGTTCAATACTATGTGAAGCATAACAGCCTTGAGTTTTTTCAACTTGAGGCTTCTAAGATTATGAATCCTTGAGTGGATAAGCCTCAGGGTAAAGAGTCACAGACATCAAAAATTATCTGCTGAGTAAATGAAATAACACCAGACAGAGAAGGACAAATGCCACATGGTGGCACTTATTTGTGAAATCTGAAACAATCAAACTCATACATGTATAGTGCAGAACTAGGGTGGCCAGAGGCTGGGGAAAGGGGACAGGTTAGTCTAATGGCACACTCTTCAGTTACAAGATAAATTCTAGAAATCTAATGTGCACTGTAATAACTACAGTCGTTATGTTTGGTGATTAGTGATTAATTTCATGTGGTAACCATTACACACTATAAATATATTATGGATAATCATTAAGTCATATGCCTTGACTATGCACACGTTTTATTTATGAATTAAATATTTTAAATTTTTATAAAGTCATACACTGGGCTGGGAATGTGTCTCAGAGGCAGAACTTGTGCCTAGCATGCACAAAGCCCTGGCTTCCATCCCTAGCACTGGAAAAAAAAATGCTGATTATTTTCACTTGCTTTTACTCAACCAAGAACTACTTGGGTTGTGGTTTCATATATAATTTTGAATAAGCAGCAGCCCATGAAAGATATAATCCCCTTATTGCACACCATAGCCCTGGGGGATTAGGAGGGAGAAAGGTGGTGAATATCTGGCAGGCAAAGCTTTAATTATTTTCTTCAACATCTCACTTCTGTGGGCCTTGGCTACTTTCTGATTTTTCCAGCAAAAGATCAGGCCATAATTATTCCAAAGAAAAGTGGGGAATGAGAAAGAATATTTAAAAAGCTTTCCTGCAATTGCTCCTTTCAATGTAGGGACCATTGTCCTCTGTCTACCAGCCATATGTGTGGCGCAGCCCTTCCGGCAGCTCACTGGATGTCAGGCAGGACAGCTCTGCTTCTCTTTGTTAACCAGGTCAGCGTTTGCTCCATATACATAAATCCTTGATTTTTCTTTTTTTCTTTTTAGTGTCATATGGGATTGTTTGAGGAAGTTGGCCAGGTTCTAGCTTTTGAGACTAGGTCAATCGCTTGCCCATAAATACAACTTGCATTTTTCCAAACTAGGATTTGTGGATTTTGAAGAGGAATCCTGTCTCCATTTGGTTGATGCACCTCTTGATCTCTTTTCTCAGCTTCACCTTCACTGTGGACGGGAACCAGAGGTCACGCGTTGCCTCTCAGAAGCTCCGGCAGGCATCATGCCGACACACAGGCAAGTCCCACAACCACAGCATCAGGAAAGACTGGCAAAAACAAGCCAGTTTCAGATACTCTCAGATTTTCTACCGAGATAAATAATGTCAATTAGGACCTTTGGTCCTCTTGTTCTTCACCTGTGACTTACGAAGCATTTTAAGGTAATGGATGGTTTCAAAAGTTTTATTTTAATCTGGTTCATAATTGTGTTAACTAGATAATTAAGTAAATTATTAAGAAAAGTACAAATCTAAGCTTTAAATGAACATAAATACATGCTTAAATATTAAGATTTATGATACTGATTATTAATGACATCTTATGGTAAGACTCAAAGAGATTTCAACCTGAACAACTTTCTAAAAAGGATATATGGAATCAGGAAATGAGCACTGCAAATTTTTGAATGTAGTGAGTTCTGAGAAAACTTCCTGTAATTTGAGCATTGCTATCAGCAGTAGGGACAAAGATCACTAGGTGAATGCAAGTTTCAATACACATGGAAATCATAAAGTGAGGGGACCTTTAATTCTATACTCTTCTCTACAGCATTCTGCTGACACATTTTAGCCAAGCAAATTAAGCCATACCATACCATGGCCACACCTCCTCCGTAGTCCCTCTCACACATCTTCCCTTGAAAGGTGGCACCAACAAAATCTGTTCTTTCTCTGTAACTTAAATTCAAAAAACTTAAATTTAAAACCAGATCACAATCCTCTGGTTTTGTAAAAGTAAGCACAATTCATTCTCAATTTTCCTAAGACAAATTTTAGTTTTGCACATGGATACTAAAATTAATAAATATTTTCACTTAACAGAGTATCACCACTTTGAATGTTTCTGTGCCCTTTGAAAACAACAAAACAGACTTAGGAAACAGGTACTAGAAAGAGGACTTTCCTTGGGTTTTCTGTGACATAAGCAGGACCCATTTTATGTAGTGTCTTTTTAGACGGAAATGAATATGTGCCCCAAAATAAACATAAGAATAAATGAAATTCACTAAGATGGGAAAGCAAAGGTAAAACAGCTGGCCAATGGGTAGCCAGTCACCTCAGGGATTAAAGTCTCCCCATTAATCAGCCACAGCTAGCCTGCCAGAGGCATGGGACAAAGGATGAGAAGTGTTAACATTTTAAAAATTGTGTCTGTAATTTTACTGTATAGACATATATTCTGAAAAACAAAGAGCTTATTAAATAGGAGAGACTTATATACTAAAAAATTAATAGCACAATGTGACTACATGATGTCCATGTTATATTGGAATACAAAGTAGTATTTCCATTTCTTTTTTTTTCCTTTAATGACAATGAAGTAAAGAAGGCTAAATTCCAATACTCAAATTCAGACATAATCTTTTAGAAGAGATATTGTTACAATTTGGAAGCTGGGCGTGGTGGTGCATGCCTATAATCCCAGCAGCTCAGGAGGCTAAGACAGGAGGATTGTGAGTTCAAAGCCAGCCTCAGCAAAGGTGAGATGCTAAATAACTCAGTGAGACCCTGCCTCTAGGAAAAAAATACAAAATAGGGCTGGGGATGTGGTTCAGTGGTCTAGTGCCCTTGAGTTCAATCCCTAGTACTCTTCCCTCCAAAAAAAAATTGGAGTATAGTCAGGGACATTTAATGATGTGGTGCTCACTCTAAGGTAAGAAGTTGTGGGGTCCCAAGATCCAAGGAGTGAGCTTTAATTACAAACCAGTTGGTGAGAGTTATGGGTATCAACAATTCCGTCATAGGTGTGGTGTAGAAAAAAAATAACTTTGACTTTACTGTATGACAGAAAAAGTTAATGGGAGGCTTTTTTTTCCCCCCTAGAGGCCTGTCAATGATCAGAAACAGGGCCAAACTAGTATGTTTTCTTTGTCTAAGCTTTAGTAATTCCAAAATGTGCTCACACAAGTAAAAACGCCACATCGTGCGGACGCAAAACAAGGTAAGATCTTTTCCATCGTAGAAATCTGTGTAATAACTCATTAGCATCTCCAGCGGTTGACATTTTGTTTTCGTCTACCCAAAGCTCCAGTGAAGACAGAATTATGGTAAGGTTAAAGGAGGTGAAAATCTACAACAGAACACATACAGAAGACAGATTCATACGGCACGGTCTAAATGGATTTAGTGATCTGTCTACGAAAATGAACTTATGACAGACACATGCTGACCATCTGAACTCATTCTGGAATGTACCTTTTAAAGTGTTTGTAGATAATAAATGCTACTAGAAATGATACTGAATATGAGTGTTTTATTTAGCTTAATTCTTAACAATAACCTATTTAGGAGTATACAGTAAATGTGTAATGGCATAAAATTAAAAAATTTTAAAAAAGGAGTATACAATTATCATTATTCCTATTTTATAGGTGGGAAAACAAACTTAAAATGAAATGATTTTCTCTACCATCACACAACGTGTATACTCATAAAAGAAGATATAGGAATTGTTTTAGTTAACAAACAAGTGCAGAGGTATTAGAAAAGCCAACACTTACAGCATTCGTCAGTCCAATCAACTGGAAAATTTTTTGCGTGACAATAGTAGTATCTGAACCCATATGATCGTACTGTAAAATACAATTATCTTTTAGATCCACATGTACATTGTTAGACCTTTAAACACATATCAGTTTTTATTAAAAACATTTAAATTTTTCTTTAAAAACATATTTTTGAAGTGCTGGGGACGACTAAACCCAATGTCTTGTGCATGCTAGGCAAGTGCTGTGCCATTGAGCCACGTTCCAAGTCCTACCTTTTAATTAATTAATTTTGAGATATGAGCCTGTTAAGTTGTCCAGGTTGGCTTCCAACTCTCTATCCTACCTCATTCTCCTGAGATTACAGGCATGCACCACTATGCTAGGCAACATTATTTCACTATTATACAAACCATATGATATTTAGTGTAAAAATGGAAAATCTAAAAAATGAAAAGGAGATTAAAACAAGAGATAATTCCATTATCAAATGAATGATAGGACTTCCGACTGAAAATATTACCTATTTCGCAAAAAGTAAACATCTAAGTCAGATTGTAGATCGACTATACCCATTCAAAACCATGTTTGCCTGACATTTCATTAAAGCAATGATAAAAATACGATAAAAGACTCAGAAGAACAAAAATGTACAGAGAAGAAAAAACTAAAAAGCAATGACAAGAATTGAAGACTGAAAACGGGATGAGTAGAAAATGATGACAGGTACATAAAAAATGTGAACCATAAACCAGTAGAGCAATAGCGTTCCCTGAATCCCTAAAATGTGCAAAGGGGTTGTGCTGGGATCTCTGCAAATGAGAGAGCTCGGCTTAAGAGCAGATGCATCCACCTAGTTCATTTTGTGTAAGAAGTAGTTAAAGCCGGGAAAACCTTTAGAGTAGGTATGCAAAAAACTCCCAAAAGGTTATCTGTTGAAGGATTTCATTCATCTAACCTTTTGGAAATTAAAAAAACTATGTAGACATGGAGATTACAGTCATGGATTCCAGGGGTCAGGGGACGTGGGTGAGGGAGAAATGGGTAGACTATAAAAAGAATGCAGCAGATCCTGGCTGTGATGGAGTTATCTATACTGAATTGGTTACAATAGCCTAACTGTAACATGCTATAGAGGGTATTATTTAAAGAATGGACAGAACTTCTATGTAGTCTTCCAACTGCATATGAATATATAATCATCTTCCCAAAACAGAATAACTGGGCAAAGAAGACAACAGAGACATTAAAGATTAAAACAAAATTATAAGTTAATAAGTATCTGAAGAACATTTCACTGCAAGACAGCACATGTGCCCTTGGAACATGATACAGAAATACAGCATATGTAAGCTGTTAGGATATAATCCAATTAAAACAATTTTTTTTTAAAGAGAGAGTGAGAGAGGAGAGAGAGAATTTTTAATATTTATTTTTTAGTTCTTGGCGGACACAACATCTTTGTTGGTATGTGGTGCTGAGGATCGAACCTGGGCCGCACGCATGCCAGGCCAGCGCGCTACCGCTTGAGCCACATCCCCAGCCCTAAAAAATAAAACAATTTTTAAAAATGCAAAATATGTTGTCTGAATAGAATAGGATGAAATTTTAAAAAATAAAAAGAAATCCGAGAAGTTTGAAATATGCAAAACCAATTACAAGTAGTCAATGGCCAAAGAAGAAATCATAGGGGACTTAGAAAATACTATATTATCAAAATAACAAAACTTGTGGTATTCAGCTAGAATAACAGTCAGATAGAAATTCATAGCAGGACATAGCAACAAAGTCAGAGTCCAGAAAGAAAGCTTCCTATTGATGGCTAGCTGATTATCAACAAGGGCACGTGGCATTTCCTTGGGAAAATCCTAAAGTACATCAAAATAAATTTGTCATTTTTTTTGATGATAAACTTTGGAACTTTTCTGCAAAATAGATGGAAAAATAAGATAATGAAATTATTTCAGTATTCTCAAATTTCAAATCATCGTAATTCCATTTCATTGAGGAAATTCTACAAGAAATAACCTTCAGGAATGATAATACCATCTCCTATCCGCAATATAAATCATTATTTTCAAAGTTTAAAAAAGTGTTAAGAGTACATTTCTACGATTCTAAATTCTTTAAATTACATGAAGTTACCATTGACTTTATTTTCATTATTATTTTTAAAATTAAGATTAAACTTTTTATAGAAATTTGACTCCCAATTTCCTACTGATATGAATGGTTTAGAATTTGGCTAATGCAGAATTGTCACTAATTCTCCTCTGTCAATAAATTCTTTCCAAATTATTTTTATAACACTTCATTGCTAACAAAGTGACATGAGACAAATCAATCAAAAATATACTTACCAAATGTTTTTCAACTATAATATGCATTTCTAAATACTGAGCCATCTCTTGTGGCTGAAAAATAAAAATCCACAAACCTTCCATCAAAATTGAAGAATTACTTAAATATTTACAGTGTCTATCACTAATGAACTCTATTAATGAACACAATGCTGAAAATATGATTTTACACAGAGAAATAGAACCAGATAGCAAGCAAAACTAAATGTCACAGAATCTTTTTCATTTAATTCTGCTGTCACTTCTTTGCACTTAATCAACCTTTTAATGAACTCAGAAAATAACTTTTGTCCACCTTTCTTCCTTTATGTTCTTATTGGTCCTACAAGCAATTCTATCAGCTTTATGTTACTGCATTACTCTGTGGTATGATTTTGCACTTGATCTTAAAGGAGTAATAAGAGATCCTTATGTGTAGGGGTTTGCGTTTCATGTAAAGGATACAATTAATTCCATATAAGCTGCCTCAGAAAAAGATGAGAAACAGAGAGTCAAATCATGGGTTTTCTTAAGCTAGACCACAGGTATCTCAAGATAAAGTGGTTGGGGTGGGATGCCAGACAGATGGTCATGGTTAAATTAGAGATATGTGTGGGGCTTTGAACTGTGGCTTGTCAATGTCAGGCTGTGCTGAAAATGGAAAAGAAGTGATGGTCATCATGGTGATTCATAGAAGTGTTGTCTTTTTTCACTCTAATTGTTACATGAAGACAACCTATAAGAAATGCACTGGGGACAGACAGACAGACAGGCTTCGCAAACATTCTGACCCAACAGGGTAGTGTATTCATAATATTCAATCACTACAGTAACACCACCCACAGGCAGGAGACAAGTATTTAAATGCAGAGTAGAAAATCCAAACTCAGCAGCTGAAGAAATTTTTATTATGTTTATTTCACATTGGCATTTAATCCCTTGAACATTCAAGACAATCTCATTTTAGTTAAATGTGTTCCTAAACATATGAAGAGAGCATTGAATAGCAAACCTGGGATTTGAGTAGAGATCAGAAAAACAATGGTTATAGTAACTTCAAGGAGGAAAAAGTTGAGTAAAGTCAGTAAGACAAATTCAGGGCATATTGGTTACTTGTTTTATCATTTAAAATTCTCTCTTCTGGTCCAAATCAAGGGTTTTGAATTTAAAAGGTGAACAAGATTCCCTTGTAGTCTAACTGATTTCCTATTGTTTCCATGCAATATTAAGCCCCAAAATATTTCATGGCCTTACTGAGAAAGTTGAAATCCATTGCTTGGAAGACTGCAAGTCACTAAAGTCCCTAAACAAGCATGCACTACTGGCTTCCAACTCCTGAAATGCTAGATTAATGGACTGGGATTCAAAACTACGGATTGGTTCTAACCAACACCAAGTGGCTCATATCCCAAAAGTCATCCTGCTCATTTTCATTTCTGAGACTGGAACTGGTGGTAGTTTCATAACTCATTCATTAATTTCCTGAAAAATAATCTCATTTGAAGAAAAATAAGAAGTCCATTTCATCCAGGAGACAGGTAATAAAGGGCATGCAGAATGCCAGGAAAGGGGTCTGCAGGGCAGGTGAGCAGTGGGCTGACACAGCAATGTACATAAAAGTTATGCATATAATGGATGTGTTCCCATAAACCGTCATTTACATAGACAGACTGTGGGCCAGATTTGGCCTGAGGATTGGAGTTTGTCAGCTCCTGAGCAGAGTGACCATTAACATCATTTTACTGTAAATATGTTTTGTACTTATAATTAGGTAATACGTCATACAAAATACATTGAACAATGCACCAATTAAATACTCCTTAGAGGAAAAAACTAAAACCATTAAAAACACTTGATTAATAACAATGATGTAAAGGAAGAAGAAAGATATAAGACAAAAAAAAACTAGTAGATTTAATCCAAGACATATGTATTTGCATTAAAAGCAAATGCAACAAATGATGTGTTTTAAAGAAAAATTGGATGTGATTGAAAATTTTAAAACATCAAATTGTTTGAACAAGCCATGCTTTAATTGAAATATACCTGGCTTCTCTGAACACAAAAATATTGGAAATATTTCAGAAATGAAAGAGGGGACCATCATAGCTAATATTGCAGAAATTTAAAGAGCTATCGGTTAAGTTATAAAACTAGTTTTAAGGCTTATAAGCTATACAGTTTCTGGTACATGAATCCATATGTGTGTCTGTGTGAGTGTGTACAAATTAGTAGTTTCTCTGAAAAACTGAAGTGTTCGTATTGCTGTAGAGTAACAACTGTAGAGTTTACTCAATTGATCACCTACCTCTATGCTTTGTATTTTATAGGGCAGATTTTTTATTTCAATATCCTTCTCAGTATATAAAGAAACAGTTTCATTCTTATATTTCACTTGGTAAATTACATGTTCAAAGCCCACTGAAGATTCCAGGGGTTCAATTCCATAGGTAGCATTTTCAAACTGCAGTAAGCCCCTATAAATTCCAAGAAAAGTATATAAATAAAATGCTGCACTTTAAAAAAGTTAATTAAGAGCTACTTAGTTCTTTTTATGGCCTGCATATTATTATCATCCTTAGTGGGTACAGTAGGAAGTTACTGGGTATTTGCAAACTTGCTAAGAGTTACAGAACAGTAATGTGATTGGTATTTGCCTAACTATATTTCACGATCTCTAAATATGAGAATGATCTTAATTCATTATAAGGGTAGGAGCCATTGTTAAAAATAATTTTCAAGTAAGGAATCCATTTTGCGATTCATACAATTATATATTACAACCTTAATCCAGTACATGCGCTAACCATCACCATAGAATTTGGATAACCTTCAACAAATCCTTGGTAGTAGCAGAAATTCTGAAAGATAAAATACATACAGATTTATTAGGAGATAGAGTTTTCAGATATTGTGTGTGTATATCAAATACTCAATATTTGCACAAGGGATTTATAAGATTATTAGATGAATGTAAGACTCAATTTCCCAAAGCTTTTCCCCACAGGTTCATAAAGAATGTGTTAATTTTCACCCTCTTTCATATTCTGAAAACTAAATTCGATTTTCTTGATCACTAGGACAAAGTGAAAATAATCAAAACCTCACTACCCACCACCCCCAAATTATTCTGGCATAATTCTGCCTGGTAGAAAAAACCAATATGAATCCAAAAAAGAAAGTCTTTTTACACAACTATTTTGATGGTTTCTTATTCAAGCTGTGTGTGTGTGTGTGTGTGTGTGTGTGTGTGTGTGTGTGTGTGTGTGATTGAACCCAGGGCCTTGTGCATGCCAGACAAGCACTCTACCAATCGAGCCATGTCTCCAAGCCCTATTTTCACACAACTATTTAGAGTGCAAGGGCAGAATAGCTCATAGAGGTGTGACCCTCTCACAGATATCAATGATAAATACTGAAAAAAATGTATGTCTATGTTTTAAAAACTTCAGCTACAAAAGCAGACAGAAAAAGAGAGTACAATTGATACCAGAGAGAAGGCAACTGCGTTTGCTGAATCCTCATTTGGTGGGTTTCCTCCAGAAAGCACCCCCCCAGGCTGAGCTGCAGAAAGCCTGACACCTCAACAGCAAACCCAGACCTTTAGCCTCAGGCTGAAGCCACAGTCTCAGAGTGCGGCGCCGAGGGCCTGTGTCCAAGAGAGGAGGGAGGAGGCACGGAGCCAGGACCCCAGTGCGCACCGGTACCTCCTCGGGTGCAGTCTCTACTTACATCCAGACCCAGGATTCGGGAAAGAGGCTCCAGAGAGTCTAGAAGGAGCCAAGACCAGGAAAGATGGAGAACAGAGAAAAGGGTTTGTCTATCTGCAAGTGCAGTGGAATAGTCAGGATCTGGTTCCCGCCAGCATATTCGCCTACTAGAACAAACTTGGAAACCCTTTAGAAAAAAAGTCACAAGGGTTAAGTGTGCCATTGAATGTGGCCAGTATATGATTTTAAAAGGTGCTAGATATTCAGATAAAAGGGAAAATGTAGTACAGAGTCAAGAGGAAAATCAGAAAGATAATTGACACTAAAATAACCCAAGAATAGGAAATAAAAAAAAAAAAGACTTTAAAACAGATACTAAAAATGTGATGGAGAACATTAAAGAAAAATTGGACACAAAGGGGGATCCATCAGGAAATTCAGAGAAATAGAGAGAGAGTATAAAAATCTAACTTGATGGCCAAGCATGGTGGCACATGCCTGTATCCCAGTGGCTTGGGAGGCTGAGACAGAAGGATTGGGAGTTCAAAGCCAGCCTCATCAAATGAGGTGCTAAGCAACTCAGCCAGACCTTGTTTCTAAATAACATACAAAATAGGGCTGGAGATGTGGCTCAGTGGTTGAGTGTCCCTGAGTTCACTCTCTAGTACACACCCCTCCCCAAAAGAATACAACTCGAACAAAACATAGTTTAAATGAAATACACCGAGAAGGTTTCAAAAAGTGTAAAAAAAATATATAAAAATAAAAATTAGAACTATAAAAGTTGCCAAATCCCAAATCTAAAGAAATGTGAGAGAAAGGAAGCTTTAAGAATGTCACAGAGGGTATGGCTGCAGAGGAGGTGCCAGTGGGGGAAATGATGGACAGGAGGGACCAAAAGAGCCAGCAGGCTGGAGCTGCCAGAGGACCTGAAGGAGACCCGTGAAGGTCAAGGCTGTCTATTCCAGGGCTGGAGGGGAAAGTTCCAGTTGCAGTGTCCAGATGCCATCAGCAAAGGAAGAACCTGCAGACCCTCCCTCCGCACCTACAAGGAAGTCCCAAGAGGGCTCGGCCAAAGCACCCCATCACAAGTGGGTCAAATCAGCCCAAGGAACTGTCCCAACTCCTGCTGCAGGAAGGCCTTCAGCACAGCAGCCCTGAGCCAAGACGAAGCAGTGAACGAAGGAAATGCCTCTGGAAGCAAAGACCAGGATGAGAGAGAGACTGGAAGAGAGACCCCCACATCCGTCAGCACACTCCTGCAACAGGCAGGCCTGGCTCCAGGAGAATGGAATGTGAAGCACTCAGCTCCCCAGCTCAGGCCACAGGGCTTTCCTGGTAGGAGAAGCAGGTTATAAAGCAGAACCTAACTTCTTCCCAGATGCACTGAGTTCACTCACAACAGAGCACAGAGAAGCCCAAGGGAATGTTCCAAAGTTGATGTGGGTCACCCCGACAGCCTCCACAGGACTGGCTGGTCTGAGAGAGATGGATGGGCAGCAAATGGCTGGGAGGGGTCACTGATCTACAGAACTGCCCCTTCCGGACAGTCCAAGTTTAACTGGACAACAGAGCAACCCGCCAACAGTTAGGAGAATTTAATATGCTAACGTGGCCAGGGCGAGGGCCGAAGAGAGCTTTGCCATTCCACTTCATCCCACCCTGACAGTTGGGTGTACCCTAAGCTGGATCCCCCTAAAATTATACAGCCAGTTACCACACAGATAATCAAGCAAGAAACAATTAGAGGCCCCAGGGGACAGAGCAGTATTCAGATTGCCTACGATAAATCATCTAAAATGTCCCATTTCCAACGAAAAATCATAAGCCTTGCAAGGAAACAGGAAAGTATGACCTGTAATTGAAAAAAAAAAAAAAAAGCAGATAACAGAAACTCCCTGTGTGCTACACACTGAGTGTGTGTGCCTGCCCCAAATTAATCTGTTAAAATCCTGACCCCTACGTGTAGGCATCAGAAGAGAGTCCCTTTGGAATGTCTGATGCCAATAACTGACCAATTGGCTCTTCTGTATATGTCTTTATTTTTCAAAACGATGTGCTTTTAGGGATGAATGCCACTTGCAAAACTCATGAAAAAATTCAATAAAATCATCTGTTTTAAATCTAATTTAATGAACTTTACTTGGTTTTCTTTAGGGTAGAAATAGGCTTACAGCATAACATATCGATACAACAACATATATTCATGACATTCGAGACCAACATTCAACAACTTACCACATTTTGGTTATTATTAAGGCATTTTTTTTAGTCTTTTTTAATCTGCATGCATATCTTTCTTTCATACCTCTTAAGGTATGCAGTGGAATTGGGTTTGGCAGAAAACTATAAAATTCAAATGTGGGATATTGTGGCCCTGTGTAGCTCTTTGATGATTTTTCTCTTACACACACACACACACACACACACACACACGCACTCGGGCGCACATACACACAAACACCTACACACCCCTGCACATATAAGTATTTGTTTGCATATAACAGTACATATTATTTCTTTATTTACATTGACTCACTTGTATTTGCCGTCTCTGATGGCAAATTTAAAAATGAAATTCAAAGCAAGGGCTAAGTCTATAATTTCTTCTGTTAAAATCTTAGCCTCTCTAAATGATGGACTCACTGTGTAGAAATCGGGAATGAAAATGGAAAACAACCACAAAGATGAGGACAACAATAGGTAGGGCAGACCAAAAGCAAAACAAAAAAGAGCATTTCAGGCCCCTTTACGCATGAACAAACCCTACAAATTCTACCCATTATTTTTCAATTACTTTCACCAAAAAAATTATAGACATCATTAAATGAAGCCCTGAGTATTCCAAATACATGAAAATTCTATCTAGTTCCAAATATGCATGAAATTTTATATGTCCTCAAGAAACAGAGGACTTTGTCACGCTGAGAATAACCACTGATCAAACTTTGCCCTAGGGGGTGGACACCAAGGAAGCTGAAGGTGACAGGTTCTTGGCTAAATCTGCATGTGTGTGTCACTTGGCTTTTTTCCACACACTGTCACCACTTCTGTAAGGCCCAAGGAGAACTGTGACAGCTGCATATCCCATTCATCCGAATGCGTTAAGTTCGTTTTCCCTTTTTACATTGTTTGCTTATTTCATTTAAGTAGGTGTCCCAATCCTGCCTGCTGGGATCCTGGCAGCTTCCCTGTCTTGGCTGCTGCAGAATGGACGGAGACACTTGCAAACCCTACAGCTGGTGAGGGGTTAATATTTAATATTTAAAATATATGAAGAACAGCAAGAAAACAAATAACTCAATTTTCAAAATGGGGGAGGACAGAAATAAATGTTTCTCAAAACAATATGTACAGATGGTCCACGTGTATTTTAGAAAATATTTGGTCCCTGAACATTCTTCAGAGGACACTTTAGATTCTCCTTTTGTTCCAGATTTAGCTTCCCCTGATTCAAACCCTGGTCTTCACTCCAGGCATTTCACAATATATTCAACCCCTGTTGCCACAGACACATGAGCACACACATGAAGCAAATGATTTAGAAACGTGACAATGATATTTGACTCCGTAACCTTCTGTTTAATAGAGCTGAGGACACACTGTCAAAATGAAATGAATGGGTTCCCATCAAAACAAAACACGACCTCCACCCTTGGTACTCTACGTGGACCCTAAATAACATGATCAGAGAAATTCGTATCGCAAAGGTACAACAGATAATGAAAATCGTACCTGAAAATCTTTATCAAGAGGCTTCATGATTCCTGTACCATCATAACCATAAACTTTAAAATTATGAGGCAAAAATACTCTGTAAAAATAAAGATAAAAGGGTACTTAGTGGAAATTTTGTTTCCTAAACTTTCATTTTTTAAAAAGATACTAACTATATTTATTGTAAGGAGAGAGGTTGGCCGAAAAAGAGTTTTCAGCGTGTGGATTTTCCACCTCCTTGTTAAGTTTTCCCAAATAGCCAGAGCAAAAAGGAGGTACTTGGAGGTGTCAGATGACCTGATTTCAAAATATACTGCAAAGCTGTAATAATCCAAACAGCATGGAGACCAGTGGAACAGAAGAGATACCAGAGAAATCAATCCACTTATTTACAGTTAATTGATTTTTGGCAACATCACCAGGAACCCACAGTGGGAAGAGAACAGTCTCTTCCAAAAAATCACATATGGAAAATAAGGTCCACCTACAGAAGAATGGAAGTGGATCCTCGTCTCACAACACTAGAAGTGAACTGAAGACATCAATGTAAGACCTGAAACCAGAAGTTACTAGATGAAAACATGGGAAAGCTTTGTGACGTTGGTCTGGGCAAAGTCTTTTTGGATATGACCAAAAAAGCCTAGGCAACAAAAGCGAAAACTAAAACTAGTGGACAGCACCAGGCTAGAAGGCTTCTGCCCAGCAGGACAGTCAGTCAGCAGAGGGAGGAGGCAACCTGCAGAATGGACACAGACACTTGCAAACCCTACAACTGGTAAGAGGTTAATACTTAATATTTAAAATATATGAAGAACAGCAAGAAAACAAATAACTCAATTTTAAAAATGGGAGAGGGCAGAAGTAAATATTTCTCAAAATAATATGTACAAATGGTCAACATGTATTTAAGAAAATGCTTGCTATCATTAGCCCTCAGAGAAATGCAAATGCAACCATCAGGAAGCAACACCTTACACCTGTTAGAATGGCTGTTATCAAGAAGAGAGATGACGAATGTTGGTGGGATGAGATGAAGGAAGAACCCTTGTACAAGGCAGGTGGGAAGCAAGTTAGGATGGTGGATATGGAAAAGAGTACGGGGGTTCCTCAAAAATTAAGGGTAGAACTATCATCTGTTCTGGAAATCCCGCTGCTGGCTGTATATCCAAGTGAGGTGAAATCGTAAGTTGAAAAGACACCTGCATGTTGATTGCAGCAATAATCAAGCACACACTGGAAAACAATTAAGCCTTTAAAAAGTAAGAAAGAAATCTTGTTCTTTGGGAGACATGGATCAACCCGAAATATATTATGTTAAGTGAAATAAGCCAGGCACAGAAAGAAAGATAGTGCATGATCTCACATATATGTGGGATGTAAAAGAGTCAAACTCATAAAAGCAGGCAGGAAAATGGTGGCTGCTAGGGGCCAGGGGTGAGTTTCAGTGAGGATAAATAGGTTCGGAACACCTCTTACACAGCATTGTGACTAGAGTTAATAATAATGCTAATGAATACCTCGGATATCTTTTAAGATGCTGTAACCATGCACTCCCCACGTTTGTCAGGATTGCCTTGAGCAAGGTGATTGATTATTACCTGCTTTAAAGCCCTCAAAGATCGGGGCGTAGCTGTGACAGGTGCAGGGCGGTGCCAGTTCTGCACATAGCTCAGGTGTCAGTATGTGGTGAGCAACTTTTACATCCACCTGTTTACACAGAAGCTGTTGGCCAACACTCAGAAGGATTAACTATCAAGGTATCCTGGTCAGGGCTGGCAGGACTGGCCTCAGACCAAGGCCAATGGCCACTGAAGACCTCATCACTCCACCTGGGGTGACCCAACTATACTCATTGGTCCCCCCACAATCCCTTCTCCAGCCCTGCACACTTGAGTCTCATCTGCTGCATGTAAAATGAAAAAACAGTAAAAGCTCTGCACTGTATTTTGATTATAGATCTGGTAATTCACATTTAGACTGTTTGATTGATAACATTCTATCTGTTGTCATATTATTGACATTTTTGCCATAATGCTTTGAATAATTTTTTAATCCAAGAGTTATTTTGACAATTACTACCAAATTTGCAAATAGCTGGTGCTTCTTTGATTAAGCATTAAGTATTTGTAACTATCTTCTAATTTTACTCATTGACAAGGTGGTTATTAAATGCCTTTTGCTTGCTTGTGTGCAAGAAAAGAAATACATTTTTTGCAAGTTGAATAGTAAAGGGTCATTTACAAATTCATCATGATATCACCATTAATTGTATTGTATATTCTATATCCTTTTTCCAATCCAAAACATAAATCTGCAAAGACTGCATTTTTGCAGGGAGCGGGTATACCAGGGACTGAACTCAGGGGCATTCAACCACTGAACCATCTCCTGCCCTATTTTGTGTTTTATTTAGAGACAGGGTCTCAATGAGTTGCTTAGTGCCTCACTTTTGCTGAGGCTGGCTTTGAACTCCCAATCTTTCTGCCTCCCAAGCCTTGGGATTATAGGCATGCACCACCATTATTGGCTTAAAGACTGCATTTTTTTTTTAAAGAGAGAGGGAGAGAGAATTTTTTTAATATTTATTTTTTAGTTTTTGGAGGACACAACATCTTTGTTTGTATGTGGTGCTGAGGATCGAACCCAGGCTGCACGCGTGCCAGTCGAGCGCACTACCGCTTGAGCCACATCCCCAGCCCAACAAAGACTGCATTTTAATTTAGATCTTCTTACATTTCTAACCCACTGTACTTCACCTACTTCCATCTCTATTGAACACTTGTATGTATTGTACTGTGATGTGGAAAGTTATCCACAGGATGGCTTAGCTCTCACCACTGGCTCATTTGCAGGCCCATCACTGTTGGGGAGATTCTGTCTGGGGTTTCCCTGCACATTTATTGCAAAAACACTCAGTTTTTTTTCCTTAGGAAGAAGTAATTTTGAGTCAGCTTTTTGTGTCTTCCTTCAAACTAGTTCTTTTTCTTCCTTTCATTACTTTTGGTAAACTCATTCTTATTGAAACAAGGATCATATCAATTTTGATTTTTCTTTTTTGCTCAGCATGTTATGCTTCATTTTTCCCAAATGTATCAACTGACATGAGATTGAGTTTGGGTAATTACAATTGTAAGTGCTTAATACAGTGTGATAGGATATATATGCTAAATTAAAAAAATTGTCATGATTCACAACATCCAAGAATCTGCTATGATCCTTCAACTTTAAGTTGGATAAAGGAACTAGAAAACAAACCATATTTATGTTTTCAGGAAATAATCAAAATTTGTCCTCCATGAAACCCCATGGGTAGCCCAAACCAAATTGGATGCTACCAGGAAGCATCACTACGGGGAAGATGGGAACAGCACTGTGGATTCCAACCCAGGTATTTGATACAGAGACTTAAGGTATTTTTTTAAAAGAACAACACAAGAGAAAAAGGAACACTCAGTAACATTTCCAAATGCAAAATAATTGCATTCTGGGTATTCACAAACAATAATTATAAATAGAACAAAGACAGTTGGTAACTCCATCACCTACTTTTGCGTTAGGTTCATAGTATATGTTTTCCCCTCAATTGTAATGTTGTAGGCCACCTGGTAGGAGAGTACATTTGAGAAGCAAAGAAAATGAGGGAAAAGAGGTTAGAAAGAAAAACTAACATTTTTACATTAATGACAATCAAAAACATATTAATGCAATAAAAATTAAAATCTAGAATTTGATAAAATTTTAGCTTGGATAATAGAATATGATTGGTATAATTTCTTATTCATGAATTTTCAATTTATCCAATAACAGGCTCATAACAAAACAGTGGATTTTATAGAATATATATATTTAATTTTTTTTTAGTTGTAGATGGACACAATGCCCTTATTTTACTTATTTGTTTGTGGTGCTTTTTAGGATCAAACCCAGTGCCTCACACATGCTAGGCAAGTGCTCTATCACTGAGCCACACCCCCAGCCCTGAGACTAGATTTTTTTTAGTCCTATAATTGTGTTAGCTTAATATTGAGGCCACTGGAAAACTGTCTTTAAAATGGATAGGATATGCCTAAATTATTTAATAGAAAATTTATATATAGTAGAGCCAAGAATTAATTAATAACATGTAATATATAATAGTAAGAAATTTTCTAATATTTGTTCATAGTTTGAATGCTAACTCAATCTATTTTATAAATAAGAGGATTAAGAAATGGTATCCAATGAAGGGACAATTAATTCTCTGCCAATCTGCAGACATCTTCATTATGAACAAGCATGTAATACATCTCCAGTTATTAAAGTCTTTATTTTCTCTTGTTTTATTGTCTTCAATGAGGTTTTGCTGACCTATGTAAGATCTGCATTTAGATTTTTATGTAGTATAAATTAAATCTTATTAAGAATTATGTTTTATATTTTTTTGATTGCTGGAATAGAAATACTACTTGTTTCTGTATTTCAATTTCAATCATGTCTCCAAAAAATTTACTAAGTCATGTATTATTTCCAATTTTTTTCTAGATTTAGATTTTATTTCATATATCACTATTTTGTCTGCAAATATGATGGCATTCTTTTCCCCTCCAATTATGCCTATTTTTATTGTTTTCTTCCCTTCTTGCAATGGTTAGTGCTTCCAAGACAATGATAAATAGAAAAAGTGATAATGGGCTTCCTTCCTTCTTGATCTCTAGAGGGAAGCTTCCAATATTTCAACTTTATATATCTTTTAAAGGGAATTTTAACTTCTTTATAAGCCACTCTTATTATTTTCAGTCATGTATTTTAGGCATATAAGATTCAAAGAAAAGTCTATAAAATATCATGTCATTAATGATAACATTGAAAAATAAAAAAATGCAAGTCTTTGAAAATAAGGATAAGCCTACTCAATAGATTATATTTTCTTTTTTACACCCCAGATAACCAGCCTCCCAAATTTCATGTTTATTATTCTCATGCCTATTTTCATAACTATATTAGTTATGGATGTTTGTCTAAATAGTGGTTGGTTTTGCAAAAATTTTACCTTTACTTGAATTTTATCCTACAAGTTATATATTTTTTCTGTTGCATGAAACACTGCCTCAGACATAATAAGCACTATAGCAAATATTGCCTGCCCTCACCATCACCCTTAGAACCTGAACCTTTGTCATTTATTTCTCTATGGCATAAAACTTCATTTTCTGAGTATACCACAGTTTATTCAACTATTTTCTTACTGGATATGTAGTTCTATTTGTTTTAAGCAATACTGCAATATGTGTATAATTGCCAGATATATGTTACTTATGAATGAACTTCTTTTGTTTAAAAAAATGTTTTTACAACTTCACTCATAATTTAAAAAACAACCTTCAAATTTGTTGTGCCAATTTACATATTCAAAAGCAGAAAATAAGACTACCTTTTTATTTATATCTTCTAATCACATTTTGTTTTCCTAGATTTAATTTTGGCCAGTGATGGATGTAAAATAGTGTCTTACTCCATTTGGCAATTCTCTGCCAAATAAAATTTCTCAATTTTTCGATTACATTTGATGTTTGCTACCCCGTCAGGTTTAACACTTTCTTGCCATTCATAGCTTTATACATAATTTCCATTTTGTTGGGTTTTTTTTTCTTATTGATTTGTAAAAGTTCTTGATCTGTTCTAGAAACTCTTATGTGCAGTAAGTGGACTGCAAAATATGAGTTTGGGATATTTTTCACTTTGTTTATGGTCATTATTATTTTTATTTAAATCTAGGTATTCCTTTTTTCATTGTTCAATTGTTCCCTTATATTAGAAGGTCCTAAAATGTATATCCTATATTTTCTTCCAAATTCTTATTATTTTACTCTCATCGATGCATTTACATGATCTAGAATCAACTCTGGTATAGGAGGTGACACTACTGTACAGTTCATTATTATTTTGTGTTGCTAATCATTTGACCTCCATCATTTATTAAATCAGGCATTTTATGTTTTGTTTTAAACAACTGAAGCCTGCAATCAGAGTGTGGGGACGGTGGTTTCCTTCTGAAGGCCGCGAGGGAAAGACCCCTCCAGGCCTCTGTGCTGGCTCTGCACATGGAGTCTTGTGCCTGCACTCAGGTCAGGGTGCACATTCCCTCTTCTCTCCGGGGCACCAGTTATGTTGGACTAGAACCCACTTTAATGAACTCATTTTAATTTAACGACCTCTCTCTCCAAGTAGGGTCATATCATGAGGGGCTAGGGGTCAGGTCTTCAACAGATGGATCTTTTGGAGGGGAGGTGTCACAATTCAGCCACAGCATGCAGTAAACTATCCTGACAGAATGGGACTCCATGCTGGATCTGACTGTCTAGAGCTATCATCTCTAGAAAACTTCAGCCATGGCTGTTACCATGGCCCTTCATGAACTGAATGTATCTGGGGGGCAATGTATCCAGGGAAGGAATTAAAATTAAGAACCAATTTGCTCCACTAATCTGAAGACACTATTCATTTTCTTGTAGGTGTTGTGTAAAGGATGTGTGGCTGGGGCGGCTACAGAACAGCGGGGGAAGGACCTGTGGGGGAATCACTCCCTGGGCCTCCATTCCTGTGTCATGGCAGGCCTCCTGTTATCCCCCGTGAATCTGAGTTGTTATGTCGGTGTTTCTCATAGGCCGTGCTCACTGTAGGTGCTCAGAAGAAAACCAGGTGACATTGAACTCCAGAGTGAATGTGAAGGCACTCTTCTGTAAAGCAGGACACAGGCCCGACCTGCCTGTGTCCATAGGCAAGGCCCAAAGGGCCAGGTAACTATTACTCCTATCCATTCCCTTGTAGATGCAGCAACCTGAGACCAACATTTTGTTTCCTTCTTTCTCAGGAAAGTAGTATAATAGCCAACTCTGGCTAAGAGATTGAGCTCTACTGTGGTTTGTGTAGGCTGGGGATGTGGCCCAGCGGTTAAGTACCTCTGGGTTCAATTCCTGGTATCAAATGTTTAAAAAATGATATCTAGAGACAGGGTCTCACTGAGTTGCTTGGGGACTCACTAAGTTGCTGTGGTGGCTATGAACCTGTTATCCTCCTGCCTCAGTCTCCTGAACTTCTGGGAAGACAGGCCTGTGCCACCCACCTGTTTTGTATCACTCATTTTTAAAAATGTGTCCTCCTTTCTCATACAGGCACTTTTCCCTATCTAGTAACAGTTTTTATACCTTTGTTCTATGTTACTTTGAAGACCATTTTTTTTCTTTTTGCCTGAGAAAAGTATAGCTACACAAGCTGCTTATTTGTGTTGCATTTTTAAAAATAGTTTTGTGTCCAGCCTTTGTATTTCTTTATTATCAGGTCTGACTGTTAGAGTTATATCCTTACGTCCAATCTGAGATGTCTCTGTTTTCTGATACATGTAATTAAAGATCTAATATTTAAATTTTACTTGGATTCCCTATTAAATTGATACTGATATACACTTTCTACTCTTTTGATGGTTACTATTAAATATCATATTCAATGTGTTGTATTTTGAATTAAACACATTCCTCAGCTTTTTTTTTTTGCAGCTTCTATGTTTATGTTATTGTTTGTCTGCTTTCATTTTCTACCTGCCAAAGTACATTATTATACCTATGTTCTCCTCTTTTAACCTGGAAACCATCAATAGATACTAATTTGTGAAGTATACTTCACTTGAGTAAATGACAAGATTTTCTCATTCCCGTTGCTGATTTTGAGACTTCTGCTGTTAGTTTATTTACTGTTTGGTTGTAGGTATCCTTCCTATTATTCATGACTACCTTCAAGACATTTTCTTCCTTTTAGTATTCTGACATGTAAAGATGTCATTTGACCTTTACTTATTCTGCTTTGAATTCGTGAAACTGGAGCTGAGGGCTCCATTTTTTGAAAATCGTTTCTTGGTTAATATCAACTCTCCTCCACACCTCCCCTTTTCCTTCAGGAATTCCCATGGTGCTACCTAAGCTTCTAATTCTATTGTCCTCTTCTATTAGTCTTTTATATGTTACACCACTTATTCTCTTCAGCTATCTCTGATCTACTACTAGTTCCTGACTTTTATAGCTTCATATTGTATTTTTCACTTCTACAAGCTTCATTCAGTTATTTTAAAAAGCTTTACTAGTGTCAAGTGTATATTCTCCCTTTATGCTCCTATATTCTTTATTATGATAATTTTAAACATACATTGTTTCATGCTATGTTTGTTGTAATTATTGCATCAGTCAGTGATAGCCTCATTGATTCAAAAATACTACTATTTCCTTACTATACTCTATGCCATGAGAATGCAGATATTAACAAACAGACCATTTTTGTCTTGAATTTTGACTGTTGAAGAGAAATATTTTTATTTTTCTTCTACTTCACTTGTTCTAAATCATCCTCTTATAACAATCCAGTGATTCCTGCTTGGAGATATTCCCCTCTAAACAGACTCCTTGTTTATTTTCTAAAATGAATAACATGCCCATAATATTTTTGCATTAATATACACTCCTAAAATTCTATAAGAGCTTCACTACTTTTCTTAAGTGATTTTAAAATTTCATAAACAGATATGCATTCATTTAAAAATAAAGAGTTATAAACTTAAAACTCTAAGTTGTTGAATGGAAACTTGCTAAGGGCATACCTAAATCATGAGAACATCCACTTCCCAACCAAAAGGAAAAGTGAGGTTTCACAAAACATATTTGACTTCTCCAGAAATGATTCTAGAATTTACTTTTAAAAACGGAGCTTTTAATTCAGATAAGATTGGGCATGTTAAAAAGCCTTTTATTTCAAAGGAGAAACAAGAATAATATAATCCTAAACTAAAATGAATGAAAGCAGTTTTAAAAATCTTAACCATTAACATATTTGCAATTAAAAGGGGAAAATCATCCATATAACATATATCATTAAATAAAATGATCGTTATCCCCCATCCCCATTTTTTTTCCTCCAAATATAGGCTGGTGGGTGGGTGAGAAGAGACCAGTAGATCAGGTCAGCTGGTACTCAGAGATACCTAGGGGGAAACATTTGGGGGGTGGGGCTCCAGGCTTTAACACCCCACATCACTGCACCATTATTTCTAGGAAACAATAATCTTGACTCATTTTTAGAAAAGACTTTTCCACTCAAAAAAAAATTGAGTATAAATATAAAATTCAGTAAATGTGCATGAATGAAAAATGGCCAATTAACATCTTGGGAACAACATATTCGCATCATTTCAAATCGTGAACAATGTTAATAATTCATTACATGTGATTCAAATCCTCCGTTTTTAATTGACCGTATTTTCACTGGAACCGTAACTTGCACGTGTAGTCTTTCATAATCTGCAAGGTGCAAAATGTCTTATTAGAGGGTTGCCCCGCGCTGTACAGCTCCCTTCATTCTCTCACATCTAAAGGCATCCTCTGCATTCTCTAGGCCACCTCTCAGTTTTACTATCTTTCCAATATTCTCACTTCTTTCTAGAATTACGAGAGTTTTTAAAAGACAATTAAGTATATTGCTTTAGGAATATGGCCCGGTGGGCAGGGTCTGGTAATTCTGGGGCAAAAGCCAGGCTCCCAGAACAAATACAACTCATACCCTTTGAGCCCCTAAATAGAGAGTTCAGAGTTGGGTCTCCACGGTCACCATCACTAGAGCGCAGCAGGACCTGAAACCCCATCCTCCAGCCATCCTGGAGCAGGCTGGGGTCCCTGTGGGCGTGGGAGGGCGCCCCGCTCCCCGGTGAGCTTTGGGATCGTGGACAGCTGCAAGGCCGGGAGCGGGCATCCTGCAGGATCCACGCATGTCTAGTGCACCCTGGGAGGCGAAGGGCGAGGGGGGCACGCGCACCCGAAGGTCAGGAAAGGTCTGGGACTCACTGTGTTCTCTGTGGCGGGGGCTGTACCCGCTGAGTCCACCCAGCCCGCCGAGAAGGAGGAGGACGCGCAACATGGCTAGCGATCCGGATCCCAGTCCCAATGTGGCCGTTGGCCAGCCACAGGGCAGTTGGGAGCGCGAGGTGCGGTCCGGCCTCGCACCCTGCGAGAAGGCAGGGACTGCGCCACGTGCGCGGAGCCCAGCGGCCCTGCTGTTGAACCTGGGCGGCCTGGGCCAGCGAGTCTCTCTCCAAAGAGGAGCCCACTGGATTTGACTCCTATTTGAAGCTAAGGAAAAAGGAAGAAATAGGCGGGAGGCAGGGCCAGGGGGAGAGAGGCCACTGTTTTCTGTCTACCTTTTTGATTACTGGGGATTAAACCTCGGGGATGCTTAAACACTGAGCCACAGCCCCCAGCCCTTTTTTTGTTCCGAGACAGTCTCTCTAAATTGCTTAGGTCCGCGCTAAATGGCTGAGGCTGGCTTTGAACTCAATAATCCTCAGGCCTCCGCCTCCTGAGCCACCGGGATTACAGTCCTGCAGCCACCACGCCAAGACAGCAGCAGATTCACTTCCAAGAGGCAGAGTGGGTGAAAACGCTAAGAAGAGACATATCGACTTCTCAAGTGAACTTTCAATTCTTAATAATAATGTTATATAATAATATATTACATGTTTACGTACAGTTCAATCATACGAGGACAGCTTGATTAATACTCAAGTGAACAAGTCAGTGTAATTATTACCTGGATCAAAACAGAGACCACCAAAGTCCCCAGTTGCCCGCTGACAGTTATTACCTCAAAAACTATTGCAGTTGCTCTTTACATTTGGCTTCCTTTAATGGGATGGTTGTAAGGCCCATCCATAGCAACATTTGTCTTTCCATTTTGCTGTTGGTGAACATTTGGTTTGTTTATACTTTCAGCTATTAAAAACAATATTTGACTATAAAAATTCTTGCATATGCCTTTTATGTAGAAATTTCTCTTGGGCTTATTTCTAGAATGGATCACAGGCTATGTCTTAGTAGACACCTCCGTAGTACTAATATATGCTCCCACCAGAAGTGTCTGAACATTCCAGTTCCTCCACATTGATGCCTACACTTTTTTCTCCTCTTATTTCATGTATTTTTATAGGCCTGTAGAGTTTTCTGCATTTGGGGTTTAATTTGCATTTTCTTGTGGTTAATAAACTTGAACACAATTTTATAAGTCAATGACAATTTATATAGCTTCTTTGGCAATTGCTGCTTGAAATTTTGGTTCATTTTCTAATGGAGTTGCCTTATATCTTTTATTCATTTTTTTTTTAAACTGGGGATTTAACCCAGGGGCAATTTACCACTGAGTCACATGCCTAGCCCGTTTTCATTTTTAATTTTGAGACAGTTTCTCACTAAGTTTCTTAGGGCTAAATTGGTGAGGCTGGCTTTGAAGTTGTAATCCTCCTGCCTCAGCCTCCCAAACCACTGGATTACCTTTATGTGCCACCATGCCAGGCACCTTATCTCTTTCTTATTATGGGTTTGTTTCTTTCATGTTTTTTAGTATTTGTAAATGGAGCTATTAAGACCTGGAGTTTTCTTTGTGACAGGGCTTTTTACTTATGGATCTGATTTCTTTAAAATACTAAGATAACCTCTTTCCCCTTGGGTTAGTTTGAGAAAACTGTTTCTGAAGGAACCTGTACATTCTTGGGAGTTGTCCTTTCCACATGAATCAGTGAAAGTTGTTCAAAATGCCCTCCCCTCCTCGGTCATTCTTTTGCAATCTGTGGCATCTGCAGAGATGTCCTCCTTTTCACTCTCAGTACTGATCATTTGTGATTTTTAAAAAATTTGGGGTACAGTAGTTTATTAAATTATTAAATTTTGGAGCTTATTGTTTTTATTAACTTAAAAGGCCTCAAATGTGACTGTCCGGATTTTGTTCTGTTATATATTTGTTTTCTGTTTTGTTGATTTTTGTTCTCAGGTTCCTCTCTTTCTGGTTTACTTTTTCCTTTTTCTGGTTTCTGAAAAATGGAAATTTATATAATTTAAAACTCTTCTGACATGTGCATTCAAAACTATAAATTTCCTGGTATTCACAACTTTAATTTCACCAACAAATTTTTATGTATTTTGTCTTGTGTATTTTATTTTGACATACTGTATAATCGTGAGTTCATCCTACCCTAAGATTGAAAGAAATAGCCTTTCCTCCCAGCTAGTCTAACAGCATCCCTTTTTTTGAGGCTATTTGTTTTGGAAACCTTGGGTACAGCTAGTATGACTGATCATAACTCCCTGGGCACAGCACCACAACCCCACTGGTACAAGGGTGCAGAAAAGAATATGGGGATTGCCACGACTCTTATTAAAAAGCCTATTTCTTGTAGCAGAGGTAAGTTTGCTTGTTACTTATTCCTTTATAGTGATGATATAAAAACTAGCATTCTGTAATCAATTTTGAATACACTCCAAGCAAGCATAAATGAAATGGGTCTGAAAATCTTCCCTTTCTATCCCGGTGAATCCCTTTTACTGCTAAAACCGCAGCAGTTGACATATGGCCCAAAGCTCCCCAAAGAAGACCCAGAGACACAGCTGAGGGTATTTTCTCACACAACCTTGAGACCTTTTCCAGGCTAGCCTCACGCTGGGCTTTCCATCTTGCACCACTGGCTGTATTTTCGTGGCAATGTTATGGACTCAATTCATTGGACTCTTATTTACCAGAAGAGTAGAATTTCTGATGTACTTAGGAACTTTTGATGGTTTATGGGGGCTAATGGACAGAATCTTTCAACCTGAGCTAACAGGGCAAACAGATTTTCCTGTTTGGTGTCTTCTTGTGAAGGGTATTCTAAGATTCTTCTTTCCCCCATTTGGTCTCTCCCAGATGAGCTTGGACAGATTCAACTAGCAAAATGATGTCGTCTGGCTCCTACAGCTATTCCCCGTGGGTCTTGCTCTGGAATCAACTGGAGACGTCACACCAACCTTCCCCCAGAACTCACTCCATGCCAAGCACTGGCCTGAAACTCTGTGTATATTACCATATTTAGTTCCATCAATTCCCTATGGCCTAGGTATTATCAATGTCCCCTATTTATAGGGGAGGAAACTGAGGCCCAGGATCCCTTTCTCAAGGTACCCAGCAGACCAGATGTCTGACCCAGCTGGTCTGGCTTCAGATTTAGGAAGTAGATTTTTGGTAGAACTTAGCAGAGCTCAGTTCAGGCTCTGCCCCAAACTGCCAAGTGACCCTGAGCCAGTTGTCTGCACCTGTTTCCCCCTCTGTTAAATGGGAAGGAGCCTTGGAAGGGATCAGAGGTGACATACGTAAAACCAGGCACGCTGGGGTAGTGAGCTGAGGAGATGCTGCTAGCATTCTGACTGCCCTGCTGCCTTCGCCCTCCCCCCCACACTGCCTGGTCAACTTATGCTCATTATAATTTGGAACTTGCCTGGGGAGATCCCTTCCTCGGATGGCTTTACCTGCACAAAGTGCAGTGAGGAAAGCATGTGTTTATCTGTGAATGCTGGCTGGGGTAGGAAGGACCCAGGACCCAGCCTGAGATTTAGTGGAGGGGACTACAGCTGGGAGACTCCAGAAAAGAATGCACCATCAGAGTTGGAGCGTCAAGGAGAACCAGTGTGCGCAAGATTCAAGGACAGCTGCATTGGAGGAAGTTGAGATTAGAGTGATGGGCCTGGTGGGAGTGACAGGGCCAGGCTTGATCCTGGAGGCAGCTGGGAGGATCCGACCTGCAGCGTTTAAGATCTGACCTGTTTTAGGAGGCTGCTGCTGTAGGGCTTTGGCATCCAAAATGGGAAACAGACAAGATGATTGCAGGAGACCAAATGAGTGTGACCTGGCGCCTAATGATGTGACAAGAGAAAGGAGAGGCTGGAGGGAAAGACAAGGCTACATCTGCACTGAGCCCTGCAGCGGCAGCTGACTGAAGGGGTCTCTTTGCATTTAAACTAATTAAAATCAAATGAAATCTAAAATTTGCTTCCTTAGTCTTACTAGCACATTTTAAACACCCAAAGTGTGCATCACTACCTGAGAAAACTCTGCTATGGAAACGTTCAGCCAGCTCTGTTAGGGCTCAGGGCTGCCGGAGGCCAGCTGCTACAGACCACTTGCATCCTTCCAGAAGGCTCCCATGGCCAATCTGGTCTGGATGATGCAGCACCTGGAGACCATGGCAAAGCCCAAGAGTGGAGGAAAAGCTTCCTTCGAATGCAGCTGTTTCTGATAATGAAGAAAGCAGCATTCTTCCAACAGTGGCCCACTCTCCCAAGAGCACAGAGAGAGCGGGAGCAAAGCCATCTTAGATTTATTGAGTAAAGGATCCCAATCTCTGCTGAAATACTTCAAAATGAACTGCAGACTTGGCTGCAAAACTATAAATTGGTCAGTCAATGTGACCAGGTGGGTACTGCATTCTGTCCCCACAGGGCACTAACCATCCTCAGAGATGAAGTGATGATGCATCGTACCCAGGGAATCTACGGGTGATTCCTCTTGGATTTAAAATCACAGCATATTTGATTAACTTCATGTAAAGACCACTTTTGGGCAAATCCCTTGGAACAAAGCCACTGGTCTTGAGAGGTGCACAGGAGGCCACATCTGGATACAAACAGGGCTCCCCAGCAGATGGAGCGCTGCCGGCTACTGCCACAGGCTAAATCTTTGAAATCACTGGTGGGTTCCTGACATTAGCCTGCAGCCACTCAATGAGGATCTGATTCAACTCAGCGGGCCTGGAAGAGAAATGAAAGGCAATTCACACTCTGAACTCTCTCTCCCGTGCCAAAGAGGAGCCGTGTAGGGTGAGCGGCCAGCGAGGCAGAGCAGGACAGAAAGAAACCTGCAAGGCTTTTCAGGAAGGTGAATGGAGAATCTTGCTTCACCCTCACCCAGGGGCCCCCAGTCTCCTTACTTCTCCATCTGTGTCCAGTGCCCACAGTCCTTAATGTGTCCCCTTTTCAGGTCCGGGATCTGAAAGAAAACCCATCCAGAAAGGTCAGCGGCAGGACGCACGTGGGTGGGGCTTCAGGCTGCTGCAAAGAGCAGCAGAAGCCCCTGGGAGGGTGCACCTTCCTCGCTGCTTTCTAAAGGCCACCCCACCTCCCACCCCCAGAACCCTGCATTACCCAGGAAAGGACTGAGAACGGAATAAGAGCCCACATCAGTGAGGGGCAGGAAGGGCCAGCCAAACAGGGACAGTGATTTCAGCGATGATCCCCATCAGGGCAGGGCTTCAGCTGACCCTCCCGTCTGTCAGGACAGATGTGTCCTCTGCTCCTGTCCCTCCCAGGACACCCCAACCCCATGCAGGGCCATTCCCTCACCCAGTCCTCCATGTTCTTGGACATCTGAGGGGTCAGCACAACGTCCTTCTCTGCTGTCACCATCAGGGCTGGGACCAGGATCTGGGAAGAGAATGGGCTACAGGAGTGGCCAGCAGGCTGCCTTCTGCCACCCCTCATGCCAAGCTTTTATGCCCTGGGGCAGATCTCCACGCTGAAACCCCTGGGAAAGACCCTGGTCGCCGCCGCTGGGGGCCTGGCTATGTTTCTGCCGAGCTCTGCAGGACAAGTCATTGTTACTTCTGGAGATCTTTAGGATGCTGCATTTAGAATGTAGCAACCAACACATGTTGGGGACATCTGTCAGAACATGTGCTGGCCGCTGAGACTGATGTTCATGAAACTGATTCCATGGCACTAGGAACGACAGACGCCCTTGAATGAAGGTCAAGGTTCATTTTTTCTGAATTAAATGCTTAAAAGGGCGATCAGGATTCCAGAGGCAGGTGGGGCCATAGCAGTCGCCCATGTGGAATCAGAGCAACAGAAATGACCTGGCCTTGATCTTCTGCAAAGGAAGGGCACATTGGGTCCTGGAAACCTCCGCAAGCTGTGAACTGCCTACACTCTCCACGCCCAAATGCTGGGCGTGGCCATGCTCTGTCATGCCCACCACTCTCCCACACCTGACAGCTGGTTGTGGCCATGCTCTGTCCCTCCTACCACTCTCCCACACCTGACAGTGGGTGTGCCCATGCTCTGTCCCTCCTACCACTCTCCCACACCTGACAGTGGGGCGTGGCCATGCTCTATCCCTCCCACCACTCTCCCACTCCTGATGACTGGGCATGGCCATGCTCTGTCCCACCCACCACTCTCCCACACCTGACAGCTGGTTGTGGCCATGCTCTGTCCCTCCCACCACTCTCCCACACCTGACAGCTGGGCGTGG